TTTTCTTAATATGGGTAGCCAGATTTTGATCATTTTCATTGCTTCCTTTTTTCTGTTGAAATTGTCCACATGCTTGTGGATTTCGATGGCTTTTCTGTGTAATCTGACAGTCTTTTGTCCTTGTTTGAAGGGTTCTCAACCTTCCTAATGCCACAACTCCTTAATACAGTTCCTCATGTTGTGATGACCCACAACCATAAAATTATTTTAGTTATTACTTCATGACTGTAATTTTGCTGCTGTTATGAATCATAATGTGATATGAATACTGGTGGGGTTGGGAGGGGGGGATTGGTTTTGTCATTTGAGAGTTGTAGTCTCTGGGATTTATAGTTAACCTACAATCAAAGAACATTCTGAACTCCACCACCAATTGAATTGAACCAAACTTGGCGCACAGAACTCCCATGACCAACAGAAAATACTGGAAGGGTTTGGTGGGCATTGACCTTGAGTTTTGGAGTTGTAGTTCACCTACATCCTGAGAGCACTGTGGACTCAAACAATGATGGATCAGGACCACACTTGGCACAAATACTCAGTATGTCCAAATGTGAACACTGGTGGAGTTTGGGGAAACTAGATATTGTCATTTGGTGGGATTTATAGTTCACCTACAATCGAAGAGTCTCTTGAACCCCATCAATGATGTCCCTTGTTGCACGGGTGTTTTCCCCACCACCTTGAAGGGACTCCATCATCGCACGCTCTCCCTCACCTGCACATGTGCACCACACTGCCATTTGCTGAGCATGCCTGCTCTCCCTTCCCAGCTCGGAATCTCAGAAACAGCCCTCCCCTTGGCTGAGAGGCCAGCTGAGAGGCTGGCCAATCACAGCAGGAGGATGGCTTTTGGTGGGAGGATTTGCAGTCTGTTTCCAAAAAGGGAGAGAAGGACAGGCATAGACCTTCAGCCTTCTCTGTATAAATATGTGAAAGGAAGCCACAGGGAGGAGGGACCAATCTTGTTTTCTGCTTCCCTGGAGACTAGGATGCGGAACAATGGCTTCAAACTACAAGAGAGGAGATTCCATCTGAACATGAGGAAGAACTTCCTGACTGTGAGAGCCGTTCAGCAGTGGAACTCTCTGCCCCGGAGTGTGGTGGAGGCTCCTTCTTTGGAAGCTTTTAAACAGAGGCTGGATGGCCATCTGTCAGGGGTGATTTGAATGCAATATTCCTGCTTCTTGGCAGGGGGTTGGACTGGATGGCCCATGAGGCCTCTTCCAACTCTTTGATTCTATGATTCTATGAAAGGGATTCCGTAGATCATCAGAAATATGTGCTTTCTCATAGTCTTTGGTGACCCCTCTGAAACCCCCCTCCTGACCCCCAGGTTGAGAAACCCTGCATTAGACATACAATGTAGCGCATTTACTCATTATTTGTCTCTATATCTACTCAGAAACGAGTCCTATTTTATCTAATGGGATTTGCTTGCTTGCATTGGTTTCCTGCTGTACAGAATCTGATGAATTAATCAAGCCTTCTTTAAAAAAAAATTAAACCCCCAAACCAGAAAGCAGTGAGTTAGTGAAGTATCGCAGTGTAGTGTACTTCCTCTCTGGAGGCATCGGAGATCTAAAGAGGGGGAAAAATCAGGCTGAAGGCGCTTGCCAAAAGATGTGATTTATGCAGCCCTCGGATACTAGGTGATAGAGAGAGAGAGGCGGCGGAGGAGAAGGCAGGGGGATGGGAAAAGACTTCAGAGCAACACTTATTTGGCTTTTTTTTTTTTTTAGAGGAATGCAGCTTGTCACATTGACGTCTTTGTCCGCTCTCTCCTCTGGGCGGTGCGGCCGGCCACTAGGTGGCGCTGTTGCTTAAGGCTGAGCAGCGCGGCTCCGCGCCTGGGAATGAATGAAACGCGCGGCTGGGATTTTCCTCCGCTTTTCCTTCACTCCTTCTTTCTGGAAGGGGGAGGGCAAGGGAGTCGTCGATCTGGTCGAGACTGGAAGGGGAAGGGAGGGGGGAACCATTGCTGCCCCGCTCTGAAAGTGGCCACAATGGCCTGCCCGCCGCAATGGGCCTGTTTTTTTGTGATGGCGAAAGGGGACGACTCCAGTTCTCTCGACACTGCTTGGAAAGTGCAGAGGAAGAGCCATTGCTTTGGGTTGTTTTTCTTTTGGAAGGAGGGAGAGGGAGAGAAGAAGCCCTTTTTCCTCCACCTGAAAGCGTTGCAATGAGGAGAGAAAGTCGTGATCTTGTCCAGAAAGAGAGTACAATCATTACCTAGAGATTTTGGATTTGGCAAGCGAAAAAAGAGGTCTCTTTCTACCTCTCTCTCTCTCTCGATTCTCTCTCTCTCTATATATATATATATATATATATAATTCACCTAGAGATTTTGGATTTGGCAAGCGAAAGGAGGTCTTTTCCTACCTCTCTTTCCATTCTCTTTCAACAGATGCTCTCTCACTCTCTGTCTCTCTCGTTTCTTTGATCTCTATTTTCCCCCGAGGGAAAGGAAGCCAGGGAGGATGCTCTTAGGACCACTTTGCCCCCTATTTTCCCCTCGTCCTTCTTCTGCTTCTCACCAGGGAGCCCCATTTCTTCAGATCCAGGCCATAGCACCCTAAGACAGCCATCTCTCTCTCTCCCTCTCTATATATCAAATAGTAACCAAAATGACCTGGATTTCCTCGCCAAATCAGCTCAGTGGGAAGAACCTCTTTTGCAGGGCTTTTTAAAGGTGCACTGTGTTGGGTAGACTGTGAGTTTCCCAGGCTGTGTGGCCATGTTCCAGAAGCATTCTTTCCTGACGTTTTGTCCACATCTGTGTCAGGCATCCTCAGAGGTTGTGAGAGCTATTGGAAAATAGGCAAGGGAGCTTTATATATTTGTGGAAGGTCCAGAGTGGGAGAAAGAACTCTTGTCTGCTTGAGGCCAGTGTGAATGATGTTGCAATTGGCCACCTTGATTAGCAATGAATAGCCTTGCAGTTTCTAAGCCTGGCTGATTGCTGCCTGGGGGGATTCATTGTTGGGAGGTTATTAGCTGTTGTTGAGTGTTGCTCATTATTTATTGTCCTGATTTTAGAGTTTTTTTTTTAAAAAAAATACTGTTGCCAGATTCTTTTCATGGTTTCCTCCTTTCTGTTGAGATGGTCCACATGCTTGTGGGTTTCAGTGGCTTCTCTGTGTAGCCTGAGATGGTGGTTGTTAAGAGGGATTCCGGCCATGATGGAAGCCTTCGACAACTTGTCGGGTAGACCTTCAGTCCTCGAAAGCCCTTCTGGCAAAGGCGGAACCACAGGTTTCCCTTCTGAGAGGGAGGAAAACAGAAGTCCAACGTATTAATGCGGGATCGATGCGAAATGAAACCGTGCGCGCGCGCGAGAGGGAGAAGCGGAAGCCAAGTCTTTCCACAAGACACAGGAATAAAATAAAATAAAGAATAAGGAGAAAGTGAGATCTGGATAAAGAGCCGTGTGATGGTGGTAGTGGTGTGATGTTTTTCCCAAAGGACCTCCCCCTTTAAGAAAAACCCATCGTCTTCGAAGCATCAATATCATCATCGAAGCATCATCATCTTCATCATCATCGTGGCACACCCCCCCCCCCCTTGCTTTGTTGAAGGCTTTCATGGCCGGAATCACTGGGTTGTTGTGAGTTTTCCAGGCTAAATGGCCATTTTCCAGAAGCATTCTCTCCCGATGTTTCACCTGCATCTCTGGCAGGCATCCTCAGAGGTTGTGAGATCTCTTGCCCCCTATTTTTCCTTCGTCCTCCTTTGCTTCTCACCAGGGAGCCCTATTTCTTCAGATCCAGGCCATTTCTTCAGAGCCAGGCCATCACTTCCCGACAAAGGATTCCCCCAGGCAGTAAGAAGCCAGACCTTGAAACTTCTAGGCCATTAAATGCTAATCAAGGTAACCAATTGAACAATTCACAGTTGCCTCCAACAGAGAAGAGTTCTTTCTCCCACCCAGGACATTCCACAGACAGATAAAGCTCACTTGTCTAGTTTCCAACAGACCTCTCAACCTCTGTGGATGCCTGACACAGGTTTGGGCGAAACGTCAGGAGAGAATGCTTCTGGAATGTGGTCATACAGCCCGGAAACCTTACAACAAACCAACCCTTTGCCTTTGTCGAAGGCTTTTATGGCCGGAATCACTGTGTTGCTGTAAGTTTCCCAGGCTGTATGGTCATGTTCCAGAAGCATCCTCAGAGGTTGTGAGGTCTGTTGCCCCCTATTTTTCCTTCGTCCTCCTTTCCTTCTCACCAGGGAGCCCCATTTCTTCAGATCCAAGCCAAGAAACCCTTTGCTTTTGTCGAAGGCTTTCATGGCCAGAATCACTGGGTTGCTGTGAGTTTTCCGAGCTGTATGGCGATGTTCCAGAAGCATTCTCTGAGGTTGTGAGGTCTGTTGCCCCTATTTCTCCTTCGTCCCCCTTTCCTTCTCACCAGGGAGCCCCATTGCTTCTGAGCCAGGCCATCATCTCAACAAATCCAGGCTTTTATGGCCGGAATCACTGAGTTGCTGTGAGTTTTCCGGGTTGTATGGCCATGTCCCAGAAGCATTCTTTCCTGATGCTTCGCCTGCATCTATGGCAGGCATCTTCAGAGGTTTCGGGATCAACAAACCCTTTGCTACTCTGTTCCGAGTTAGACTCAGGATGTAAATAGTTCCATTTTCTTACCATCCCGTCTTCCTCCCTTAATTCGGACTCCGATCCGAATTGGGAGGAGGAGAGGGGAGAAAACGAGGCTGGGTACTGAATTTCAGGAGCCAAAACGGTGCCAATCCGGGGCGATGACGTCGCTTACGGAGGAGTAGGGAGGGGGAGAGGAAGAGAAGGAGCGCGCGCCCCTCTGCCTCTCTCCCCCTCCCTCTCCGGAGTTCTTTCTGCCCCGCGAGGCAAAGGAGGCGTGGCCTAGACGAGAAGGAGGCGGGCGAATGGGCGTGGCTTTCCCTCCAGCGACGCCTCCGACAGGCGGGCTGCCTTTGACGGGCGTCGCGACGTCACGCCCCCGCCCCCTTGGCAATGTCTACAGCCCGCTGCCTTCCCCATGCAAGCATTTATTCCACTGGGATAGAGGAGGAGGCGGCTGGAGCGGCGCCGGCACCCCGAAAGAAAACCATGGCTGCTGGGATGATGGTCTGCGTCGCCTTGCTCTCGCTCCTGGTGCGGAGCTGCGGAGGGGTCACCGGCTCCAGGGTCTACCCTGCCAATGAAGGTGAGTGAAGGGAGCGCGAGTTGAGTCTCCCGGACTCGGCTAGATCCCGCACCGACGTCGCGGAAGAGCCTTATCTGTGGAGTCCTCTTGGCTACAAGTCGTCCGGACCTGACTAGATCTCCCACCCTTGGCTTTGGACCGGCAGAGAGAAAGAGAAAGAGGCGGAGAGTCGGATGGCAAAGTTGGGAGAGAGAGCGAAGCCCCGAAGGCTTCCAAAGAGAGGAAGGGAGAGAGACTGTCCCTTTAAGAGCTCCTCTCCATCCCAAAGGTCCATCCTGGAAGGAGCTTCTCCGAAGAGAAGCGAGCGCAAGGGAGGGCGGCGCGTCTGCGGCAAATTCGGAAGGCTAGAAGGGATCCCAGCGAACGCTGGGATCCCTTCTAGCCTTCCGAATTTGCCGCAGACGCGCCGTCCTCCCTTGCGCTCGCAAGCACCCGATCCCCCAAAATCCCAACTTTCCCCCCTTTTGCCAGGCTTCTCCTCGGATGCCTCTCTTCCGCTCTGACCCTCAAGTTCTCAAGCGCCTTCCCGGGAAAGAAAAAGCTTCGTTCTCCTTTCTCTTCTCTCTCTCTCTTTCCTTCCACCTGATTTTCAAGCCTGGTGTTGGGATGGAGAGGTCTTAAAAGAACTGACCTTCTTCTTGAGGAAGAAAGAAAGAAAGTCATCGCAAGAAATGGGTTTTGGTGGAGTATTTTTAATTTTGGCGTTTTTTTGAGCCCGGTGATTGCGTAACGCGGGGACACACCACACTTCCCGCGTTCAGGTGGGCTCGCTCGCTCGCGGCCCTGGACTCGTGTGTACGTGTGAGTGCGCGCACGCGTGTCGGCGCGCGCGCGCGCCTGCGAGAGGCAGGGAGACGGAGCGAGGGCAAGCCAGCGCTGCGTGTGTGTGAAGGAGAGTCTAATTTTTTTTTGTACTCTCATTTTGGCCCCATTGTAATAATAATAATATTGGCCCGTGCCACTTCTCTGCCACCTGGATGGCAGATTGCCTGCAAATGATAAAATGCACAACCAGAAAGCAGTAGGTTGCTGTGAGTTTTCCGGGCTGTTTTCTCCTGCATTTATGGCAGGCATCCTTAGAGGTTGTGAGGTCTGTTGGAAACCAGAAAGCAGTTTAGACTTGGGAGCGCAGAAAGGATGCTGCTGGCTGACCCTCTCTGAGAGCTCTGATCCTTCTTGCAGCCCAGATCCGTTTTCTTCTTTGCCACACATTCGTCTCTTTTGGGGTCTCTTTTTCTTTTCATCCAAAGCATTGTTTTAGCATTGGCCTTTATGGTTCTTTTTTCCATGTCAGGAGCGACTTGAGGAGAAATTGCAAATCGCTTCAGGTTTTAAAGAAGCATTTATCATTGGCCCTTATGGAGAAGCTCTGAGCATTGGCCCTTTATGGTGAAGCATTTAGTGTTGGCCCTTATGGAGAAGCTTTGAGCATTGGCCTTTATGGTGAAGCTGTTAGCATTGGCCTTCATGCTCAAGCCTTTTGCATTGGCCCTTATGGCGAAGCTTTTACCTTTGGTCCTTATGGTGAAGCTTTTAGCGTTGGCCCTTATGGTGAAGCATTTAGCATCGGCCCTTATGGTGAAGCTTTTACCTATGGTCCTCATGGTCAAGCTTTAAGCATTGGCCCTTATGGCGGAGCATTTAGCATTGATCTAATGTTGATGCATTTAGCATTGGCCCTTATAGTGAAGCTTTTAGCATTGGCCCTTATGATGATGCACTTAGCGTTGGCCCTTATAGTGAAGCTTTTAGTATTGGCCCTTATGGTGAAGCTTTTAGCATTGGCCCTTATGGTGAAGATTTTAGCATTGGCCCTTATAGTGAAGCTTTTAGTATTGGCCCTTATAGTGAAGCTTTTAGTATTGGCCCTTATGGTGAAGATTTTAGCATTGGCCCTTATGGTGAAGCTTTTAGCATTGGCTCCTATGGTTTTGTTTTGTTTTTTAATTTTTGTGTGTGCCAGGAATGATTTGAGAAACTGCAAGTCGCTTCTGGTGTGAGAGAATTGGCTGCCGAATTTCTTCTAGGGGGGACGCCTGGATGTTTTGATGTTTTACCATCCTTGTGGGAGGCTTCTCTCATGGCCCACATGGGTAGCTGGAGCTGACAGAGGGAGCTCATCCATGCTCTCCCTGGATTTGAACCTCCAACCTGTTGTCTTCACTTCTCCTGGCACAAGAGTTTAACCCGTTTTGCCACTGGGGACTCCTAGTGGCCCTTGCGGTGAAGAGGATCAATGCTAAATGCTGCAGCTATGAAAGAGTCATTCTCCGCATCATGTTCTGTAGCCCTCTGTCTCTCCAAGAAGAAGAAGTGTGTGTGTCCAGGGGACAATGGGATAATGTTTGTCACCTTCTGAAATCATAGTTGTTACCACTGGGTGTTTCTCCTTCCCCGGTTGAACAGCATAATATCCTTTTTGAAAAAGCCATTGCACTGGTGTGAAACCCTTATTTGTGATTTATTGAAAACCTGTGGTTTCACAGGGTCAGCTACCCTGGGGAAGGCAAACAGAGCAGCTGTGGTGTCATTGAATCTGTCTCAGCATCTTTTAAAAGTCAAAGCTGCATCAGGGGAGCCATTTTTTACTCTTAACCCAAGGCCAGCCCTTGCTCCCTCTTTCACTGGAGACTCCAACGAACAGGCTGCTTGTGTTGTGGGCCTCCCTCCTTCTCTCCATCTCCCATGTGACTAGCACCCCCTTTTGCTACTTTCCCCATGCAGTCTGTCCCTCACTCTTAGCTAGGAATGTGAAGAAGGGAGACTGCATTACAAGAGAACCTTCTTTGCCTTGCTTTACAAGTATCCTCAGGCAGCCAGAATGCAAGAATAGGAACAAAACGTAACATCATAGAGGTGAAAACAAATACAGAAACATAGAGGGCCCTCCAGTCCAACCCCCTGCCATGCAGGGAGAAACAATCAAAACGCAGCGCAGTTTGGGTTGACACTGATCATATCTATTTGGAATAAGTAAAGCTACATTTCAAGTTAAATGCAGCACCTGAGCTAACATTCAGAGATATTTTTTGTAAGAGCACAGAAGTGGTAGGTTTTGTGTGTGTGTGTGTGTGTGTGTGTATGTCAGGAATGACTCGAGAAACTGCAAGTCGCTTCTGGTGTGAGAGAATTGGCTGTCTGCAAGGACATTGCCCAGGGGAACGCCTGGATGTTTTGATGTTTTTACCATCCTTGTGGGGGGCTTTTCTCATGTCTTCGCATGGGGAGTTGGAGCTGACAGAGGGACCTCAATCCACTCTCCCTGGATTCAACTGCTGACCTCTTGGTCAGCAGTCCTGCTGTCACAAGAGTTTAACCCATGTGTCACTGGGGGTCCTAGAAGTGATAGATGACCAAAACGAGGGGGCTAAATGCAATTGTGAGTCCCAGGTAGAATACACCCACTAAATTGATAGCAGGACAGCAAATTGACCCCTATATATAACCACAACCTGCACTGTTCAGACTACCAATTAGATTTAGGCCAGAACACTTATTACAAAACCAATCAAATTACTTTTTGGTCACCCTGGAAGAGGATGATATGTAAATTCTGTCCTTGCTCTCAGGTATATGCTTACCTGACCCTTTGGCTTTGTATCTCAATGCTGCAAATGTATTGACTAGAGAGCCAGACCTGTACAGCTCAGTGAGACAGCCTTTGGAATTTGCTTGGTGTGGTTTCCGAACCAGGAGTACATTTTATGCACACATTAGGACTTCCCTGTGATTACACTTGTCCATGAATACACTGTATATAACATTGAGAAACTGAATAAAATTACTCCTTTCCGGTTGTATAATTTCTCTTCATTTTCACTGCTTTGAAAATGCAAATGGATTCCATTTGGATACAAGTGTGCAGTTGCATGCAGTTCAGAAAATATACTGTGAGTTGGAGTCTGAGGCCACAGAGAATCACTAGGTGGCTCCTAGGCTTTATGGCCCATCGTCATTCTGTCTTATTATTTACTACATGAGGCAATTGAAACTGGCTTGCCTCCTAGTAGTGTGGTGAGGGGTACTGCCATTGCAGCGAAAACACTGCAAATACTGTTGGTCTCTCACCATAAAAATGTTGATTTAAAGTAACCTATTGTTGCACATAGTTAAAGCCCAATTATTTTTGGCAGGATTCAGACATTTCTTCAGAGGCAAGTCTTACTGAGTTCAGTAAGACTTACTGCTTGATAGATGTATGTAGAATTGTGCATTTCTCTGAATCAGGTTTATAAAGGGCGGATGGCTGTACTTTTAAAGATAAATCTTATGATTTACAGTTTCAAGATGCCTATGCTTTTATTGGCCTAGTTTTTAAGTTGGAGAGCATAGTTTTGATTTAACTCATTCAACTAGTTACTTTCTCCTTCTCAGGCATGGAAATATATGATATTCTCTTAAATTCAGCATTAACTTGATTATTAAGAAAAACATAATATTGATCTATTGGTATAACTTTGTCCCTTTCTTTTATGCAGTTACTCTGCTGGATTCCAGATCAGTCCAGGGTGAGCTTGGGTGGATAGCCAGTCCATTGGAAGGAGGGGTAAGTTTTAACTCTATATCTAATGATAAAGGTAAAAAAAAAACATGTTTAGTTGAATTCCTGGTGAATCTTAAAGATGCATTTGCTGTTGATTCTTGGAACCAGGTCAGATTTCTTTCCTGGCCTATAATGTGAATTACACTTATTACAGAAACCTTATACTCCCTTGTGGCTAGCTGTGTCATGGAAGAACTGCTGGGAGTGAAAATACACTGTCAAAAAAGAAGTTACTATCCAATCCTAAGCATGTTCTTGTAAAGTACACAGGATTTAGTTCAATGAGATTTACCTTCTAGTGGAATTGCTTTTGGATTGTCTTTTCTTGTTTACTTAGCAGTAAGGCCCACATGTTTAGTGGGATTATTCCTAAGGCAAGTGTTAATAAGATGTGAGTCCTGGATATTTAAGACACCTGGTGGTCTGCTAAAGATCCATTTATATTTTGTTCCAAGACTTTTAAAAAAAGTTAGTTGTTTTTTTATCGTGTCAGAAGTGACTTGAGATAACTGCAAGTCACTTCTGGTGTGAGAGAATTGGCTGTCTGCAGAGATGTTGTCCAGGGGATGCTCGGATGTGTTACCATCATCTGGAAGGCTTTTCTCATGTCCCCACATGGGAAGCTGGAGCTGACAGACAGGAGCTCACTCTGTTTTGTGAATTCGAACCACCGACCATCAGGTCTTCAAGTCAGCAGTTCAGCCACCACAAGGGTTTAACCCATTGTGCCAACACGGCTCCCTAAAGTTAGAGTTTATTGTTTTATATGATTGTTGCATTGTAAAGTCCAGACATCTAACTTTTGTCCAAATTAACAATTATTTGTCATTTCTTAATCACAGCATGCACTTTGTCTGGCTATAAAAATACTTCAATATTTAATGCAGTAAGGGTTAAGATATGTATATCTAACATAAACCCAGAGAGGTGAAGCGACAGTCATTAATAGATTTATGTCCCTTGTGAGTGAAAACAGATGCTTTCTGGGTTGATAGTCTAGTTCACAATTTTCCTTGTTCTTTTCCTTTTTTACATCTGTCAAAATGTCTGCTTTTGGGGGGTAGCTGTGTATTGCACAAAGAGAAGCAGAACAAGAGCCTGGATTAATCCATTGGTGAATGGGGAATGTTTAACACATTTGCAGATTTGGAGGCTGGGAGAGAACAGGATCTCAGCTTAGCCAGGTCTACACAGACCTTCACTCCTAATTTAGCAGAGAGTTTGTAGATAAATAGCATGTGGCCAGTCCACAGTGGCGCTGAGGAACTGCTGAGAGGGCTGTAATTCTTATTGTATATATTGGGTAACCAAGAAGACTCAGCGTGTCATGGGATCAGGAATTTTATTAATTAAGAAAAACAGAGCCCTATTTTCATTGCCACACACATAGGGTGAATATTAAGAACAATTTCAGGGGGTGGGGGCCGCTGAATGCCAGCTGCGAAAGTGGCATTCCCAGCTACATTCAAATACACTTAAATCCCTTTAAAATTAAATGGGAAACCTCTTTTTACGGTGCTTTGAAGGCAAACAGTTCATGCCTAACTAAGTCCAAATAATTACAAACGAAGGTCTTAAAACATTACCAGATCTATAACAAACACAAAAGCAGGTTCATTCAGTGTGTTAATGAAATATACTGTAGGTTAATGTTCCTTGTTCCTGTAATTAAAAAAAAAGGAGGGAGAGAAGGGAAGACGTGGTGGCGAATGGAAGGAATGTGAAGCTGTTTATTTCATAATACATTATGCATAAGGTCGGAATTAAGGCCTATCATGGGAAAATGGAGGATTGTCTTGCTCCTATTGTTACTGTCCTGAACTTGACTGCAGTCAAGTTGTGCTCTGCCTCTGCACACTGTGCTGATTCTAGAAACATTTTCACCCCTCTGTCCCCACCCGAAATAGGGGATGATTGGCAGGCCTCTGGCAAGCGAGACAGCATATATTCACTGCTGATTGCGGGCAATTGCCCTCATCTTTTGACAGTGGGGAAAGATACAGCTTTATCTCAGCCAGAGTCAGGCATCCCGGCTAATCCTGTACCGTGGAAAGGTCAATGAATTGGGCTTTCTTTTGGTGCACCCAGGGCCATCCCTTCTGTAGATTCAAATAGGTTCATTTTGAATAAAGTCAGTGATCTAACAGCCTGAAAGAGGAAATCATTTGTTTAAAATGAATTGGTGCGTCTCCTCTGTTCTATTTCTCTTTTGCATTCTTAAAATCTTAAGTATGTTCAGAGATTTTTTGCTTTCCGAAGCAGTGTAACTTTTAAAAGTTAGGAGTAAAAAAAAATGAGGGCACAGTTTTCTTTCAAGCCTGTCTTTTGAATGTTTTTAATGGCTTATTCTGTGATTCTGTGATTCATATGCCGTAGATTTCTTTCAAAACATGGGGCAGAGAAGGCTTCCCACCCTTTCTGTCTGCCTCTACCTCCTCCTCATTGTCTTTGACCTCTCTTTCCAAATTGCCCAAATATGTAGCCTTCAAAGATCAAGTCTCCTTCCTTTCATGCTATATGCTGGCTCTCTCAGCATGTTGCAAAAGCCCCCATTTTATAGATCCAGAACAGGTCATTCCTGAAGTGTGAAATATTTTATGTGTTAATATGAGACACTGGAGATAAAAATAGGCCACTTTACCAGTGAACAGAGCTATTACTAAATCTATAGTAGCCCTAGAGGAATGAATGTGTTATATTATAAATTTAATTAATGATTTACCTTTTAAAATTCACAGTTGAAAGAAAATGCTAGGTTGGGAATGTTTTACTGTGGATTATTAAACCATGAGAAAGTTGGATTTATAAAGCTCAAAAGCCCCCCTTTCTTGCCACACACACAGACATACACACACACACACACACACAAGTGCTTTGTCCTTGACTGTACCTTTGATATTCTTGTAGAAGATGCTGGTGGTAATGATAATGATATTGTTTTATATTTGCTCGAAATGTGCAAGCTCTGTTGTGCTCAGCGGTTTAGCTCTAACGCTGAGGTGAATTCCTAATTAAAAATGCAAATATTGTTTCTACCAGAGGGGGATAAAGGGAGTGGGGGAGAAAAAGGAATTTTGTGATGAAGATCCATTGAATGTAGTAGTGAAGTTCTTTTCACAGACTTCAATGGGCTTTAGGCCAACCTTATAACCTGAATTGCCTTTGTGTAAATGTGCAAAAGAAAATCCCATTGACACTTCTTATTTCCTCCCCTCCTCTTCCTTTGGCCCTCTCTGTTCCCATAATTAAATGGAAAGCCATAGATTATAAAGGAAGAGAGAGTAACATAATCCTTGTTTCGTAGCAGCTGTAAATTAGGAAACTCTGTTGTTCACGTCATACCAGCATTTTACATTGATAGATGGCTTTTCAGTTTTCCTTGCTATCAGTGACACAGTTTGACACAATGGGTATTGATTTATGCCCTCCCTCACTCTCCTTTTGAATTTACAAGTATCTCTTGACAATAACTCTTCATATTATATCCTTTCCTCTTGGTATTAACGGCTGTAGATCTATAACCGTATCCAGCTATTCTAGGCTCTCTTTTGAAGCCAAGGTGCACTTTCATGGATGAACCTTTAGCGGTATGCCAGAACTCATTAAAGGGCTGGCTGGGGAGTCTAATGACGATTTTCACAATCACACTTAGGAGCATTAGCACAACTACTCAGAAGGAGGTCCCGTTGAGTTCAGGTACACTTACTTCCAGGAAAGTGCACACAGGATCACAACCCGTTGTTAGGAAGTCCCTGAAAGTTTCATGATAACCTTATTTCATGTTTTACCTTGTGTTCTTTGTTGCTGAGCCTTGAGTCTCTAGGGTTTGTGCATAAATAGGAAAAAGTGGCCCCCTCCCCCTTGTCTTTGAACCTTAATTTAGCAGAACGATGCTTCTCTTTCTAAAAAGGGAGACAGAATAGAGCACAGCAGTTGCTTTCTCTCCTGTATCGTGTGATTAACATAATCTCATTTACTCCCACACCCCTTGCTTTTAGGGGCCACTGTCACTGGTCTTTTCTTTTATGATATGTTCATCACACTACTGCTGCAAGACTGCAAAGTAATACAGAATCAAATTCAATCTTAACTGCGTCTTCAGTGTGGGACTTAGCTGAATGAAGCTCCCCCCACCTCAAGGTGTATGTTTGTCATTTGGGTAGTATGGATTTCTGAGACAAGGCCTTTTCCTTCGTTATTGAAATTGGAATTTTTTGCAATGCCTACATCTGATATATGTAATCCCTCAGTGTTGAAGAACGAAGTCTTAACCATGGCTGTGGATTAAAAATGACCGTCTTTTATTCTGTGTCACTTTCCATATGCCTCATAAATGGGATTAACCCTCTGCTGAGGACATGTACATAATAGATATCGGTTGGCAGCCAGTCATTTGTTCTATACCCTGTCCAAATTCAAGATGGTTTAATAGGTGAAAATAACTGGGGCTGATCATGAAGAGCATCTGTGGGAAGTATACATGGAGTGGCAACAGCTATCCTGGATTTCGGGCAAGATATCTGCCTGGAGACAGTAAGAATTGAACCCGAGTTACATTGCAAGCAAAGGATATGATTACCATATAGCTGGGGGGAAATACATTTGGGAGGACCAAGATAGCTTGTGTGTTTTGGCAGTCCACAATTGAAACCTTTGCAAGATGTGTTTTGCCACTAGGCTATGATTTCTTTTGGCCACATGCACACATGCAACATTTTTTGAACTGTCAGAAATGGTACTTGAAATCAGTACAGTAACCAGATGTATTGTCAAGTGAAGATCTGTTTTTGTGCTTTGTGTCCTTTCTTAACATTACTAATCCTGTACAGTTATCTTTGTTTCAGCCTCATTGAAGCTAACTGAATTTACCTCTGAGTAGATCTATATTTCTTCATTTTGGCCCAGGAGATAAAAGATTATGCCCATTAAGGCTCCCCCCCCTTTTTTTGCACATTTGCAACATCCTGTTTCCCTGAGATCTGAAACAAGGCTGGTTTTGAAAATATATTTGCTTTTAGCATGATTTTAGTATGCCTTTAGTATGCAGCTCTACTAAGCTTAGCTTCCTATGTGCCTTGAATTAATACATTCTTTGTGTGTTTGGGGAGTGGGGGCAGGGAGCATAAAAAGACATCAGGTTTTCTTATTTGTACTTTTCACATGACTTTATTTCATGTTTATTCTTTTTGTTTTTTGCAGTGGGAGGAAGTGAGCATTATGGATGAGAAAAATACACCCATCCGCACGTATCAAGTCTGCAATGTGATGGAGCCAAGTCAGAACAATTGGTTACGAACTGATTGGATTCCACGTGAAGGGGCTCAGAGGGTTTATATTGAAATCAAGTTCACACTAAGAGACTGCAACAGCCTACCAGGTGTCATGGGGACTTGCAAAGAGACTTTTAACCTCTATTACTATGAGTCGAGCAATGACAAGGAGCGCTTTATTCGGGAAAGTCAGTTTGCCAAGATTGATACTATTGCTGCTGATGAGAGCTTCACTCAGGTGGACATTGGGGACCGGATCATGAAACTCAATACAGAGATACGTGACGTGGGGCCATTAAGCAAGAAGGGATTTTACCTGGCTTTCCAAGATGTTGGGGCTTGCATTGCTTTGGTGTCTGTCCGGGTTTTCTACAAGAAGTGTCCGCTGACAGTCCGCAACTTAGCTCAGTTTCCAGACACCATCACTGGAGCTGATACCTCTTCTCTGGTGGAAGTCCGTGGTTCGTGTGTCAACAATTCAGAAGAGAAGGATGTGCCAAAAATGTACTGTGGAGCAGATGGTGAATGGCTGGTCCCCATTGGCAACTGCCTATGCAACGCCGGGTATGAAGAGCGTAATGGAGAATGCCAAGGTAAGCCCCTCAGCATTGTACAGTTCATTAGGGATTGGTATATATAATTGAATCTGAGATGAGAGTACATGGAACCCAGCCAGTAATTAGTAGTCCCTGTGGGATGCAGCAGGAGGGAGGGGTCTAATGAGGAAGTCCAGTGGTTCCAGGTGGCAAGCCTAAAGAGGGGGCAATGCTGTCAGAGTAAGTGGCACTGCCATCATCAGCAGAAGGAAGAACACATTTGCCATTCAAGAGTAGATCGGAGTTGGCTTATGCCATATTTAAATGACTATGTAAATCATGTGTCAGAGCCGTCATTGTTTAAAGTGGCAGAACTTTTTCAATCTCTCCAAAATAATGGTGAAATGATTTCATACATGTGCATGTGTGTAATTGCAGGACAGATTTATCTGGAAGAACAAATGCAGCAATAGCAATCTGTTTTCTCTTTATTTGCACTTCTTTTCGAGATTCTTTTAGTGCCATTAAGAACTCACTGCTTAGCATCTCATTTAAGAATTTTGACACTAAATAATCCTTGAATATGTGACATATCTGCTTTTGTGAAATATTTTTATTTCTCAGAAAGTGTCTATTGTTTCCTTTACAAAGAAGTGTGCTAGGAGACTCTAAGAAATGCAAGAGGTCATCTGTATGCCCCCTCCTTTCCCTATCCTCTGCAGAATTAGGGATTATGGTTGGTATAAAAGGAAGCTTATCAGAAAGCAAAAGAAGAAGGGGGAGATTTAAATCTGCCTTGCAAGACCCATGATTTTTAGTTACACATTATCATGATTTTATAAGTAGTCTATTATGGATTATGTACTTGGTGTCCCTTTTAAGGACAAGTTAAAGATCAAACTGTAATGTCTTTTTTGTCAAATGAATGGGTCTTTGTATATATTGCTAAAAGTCTAAATTGGACCCAGCAATGCTTGGTCTGATTCACTTTAATTGTATTTTCCTATGACCAGTTATTTCATCACTTTAGAATAATAGATGCAAACTGATGAGAGAGATAACAGAGAGAAACAAATATTAGATTGGTAACCCCCCCCAACCCCCCCCCCAAAACAGAACAAAAATCAGTTATAGAATGACAGTGTTCTCCTAAACCAAAGGAATAGTCTACTGAAACTCCTTTATAGATTCATTAATTAGCAATGGACAGTTCAGTATTTTGTATTGGCAAAAAGCAGTCCATTTTCATCAGATATGTGCCTGCTGTTGGGGAAAAATGTTTGAGCATATTTTATTGGCAACACAATTATGAAGATTTGGAGGGAGAATTGACAAATGAAGAACATAATGACAGGGCACCATGTCTAGAGTAAATTATTCTGTCGCTTGGAGTGGGCAAGAGCTAGAAACCTTTCCTTGTCAAGAGCAAATAAATTGTTTCCAACAGACAGATATTAGGCTGAATGGCTAAAACCATGGTGTTGGATTTTATTATTATTTACTATATTTACCTAATTTGTAAAGCAACCATTTTGGAGAGGATTCTATTATGTGGTACAGATTATGGGGAAACAGTTGGTTAAAGTGAACCCCTCCCTTTTGCTCAAGAGATTACTTTGCATTTTGCCAAAGGAGGTGTTGTTGTCGTATTGGCGAACCCTGATTGATGTAGAAATAAAATACTCCTCAATCATTGACCCACACATTATCTACTCTATCCACATGGCAAGTAGAGTGTTGTCTAGAAGTCACAACATGATGTTTTGAGAGAAGGACACACAGTGTGTGCTGTGAGAAAGGAGAAAAAAAGCAGGTAGTTGATATTGATACTTTTAGAAAAAGTACCTGGAAACTCTCTCAAGCGTTACTGGACTTAAGAAACCTGATTATTCACACCTCAGGTTAATGACAAATCCTGATGAGATCATATATAAAGGGAAGAAAGAACTTCTTTGTCTTTTGTGTGTCCTGTATTAAATCATCACATAAAAATGTTCCGTAAAAAGAATGTGAGGCAATGATCATTGTACAACTGTAGGAGAAAAAAAAAACTACCCAACAGTAAATATATTATAATATCTGAAGCACTTCAAAGATTAATGCATTTTACCTGGGATAAGGTTTTGTAGACTGTAGCTCATTTTATGAAATACAGCTATTCCAATCAAAATGTTTTTATCTTTACTATTTTATTGCTTTACTAAGGTAAAGGTAAAGGTAAAGGTTTCCCCTGACATTAAGTCTAGTCATGTCTGACCCTGGGGGGTGGTGCTCATCTCCATTTCCAAGCTGAAGAGCTGGCGTTGTCCATAGACATCTCCAAAGTTATGTGGCTGGCATGACTGCATGGAGCGCCATTACCTTCCTGGCAAGGCTGTACTTATTGATCTACTCTCATTTGCATGTTTTCAAACTGCTAGGTTGGCAGAAGCTGGGCCTAACAGTTCATCCTGCTCCCTAGATTCGAATCCAGATGACTCAAACTGTTTTCAAAATTTAGGCTTTCCTAGGAAGTACATCTTACTTATCATTGTTTTGATTCCAGACCATGTACCTTTTTAGCATGCCAATGAAATGAATGACCTAGAAGCCAGAAAGTTTCAGAGGCATCACTTGGTATCCAAACATCAAAATGTAAAATCACTAAAATATGTTGCTTATGACTTTTGTTAAAAAACAAAAACAAAAAACTTCAGTTGTTTCAAAATCCAAGGGCATCCTCCTTTTGCTCAGTTATTCAACATGACTTTATATTGGATTTCTCTTTAAAATAACTTTAACCTGACTGACTGGGGGTGAAGGCTGGGAGGAAGGCGTGTTGTCATGGGCCTGGAAGGCTGGTATGAGAGAAGAAAGCCATCTCAAGTCCACAAAAGTTTAAAAAGGCACACCACTGACCTAAGAGTGGAAGTTTGTGAACACAGTCCACCCCAATTGTTTCTCCGGCATGCTGACTGTGGGAGGACAAATGCAAGAGGAGGTCAAAGGGCATTTGCTTCCTCATCCATCTTCCTCTTGTGATGCCGAGGTCAGAGTTAAGATTGATTAAGATCTTCAAAGTTCGACAAGGTTTGTTGGTCAAAAATGGGCAAGGCGGATGATGGGACAGAGGGAGTCCCTGTTGTTCTGAGATCTAACACTACTCATCTGTTGGGGTCTTTAGAACCTTAGGGATGGAATGACATTTCCTCTTGGCTTGCTGTCCTCCCGTGGTGTTTGCTGATTGAGATTTTTTTTTTTAGAAAAAAAAAAGATATATTGAGTCTATCAGGTGATGTCTGGCTTGTCCCCTCAAAGCAGCTGCCAGTTCATTCAGCTTCTTGATCTTGAATAACATTTTCAGAAGCTGAGGGATTCTTTTTTCAAGGTTCCCCCGACTTTACTCTTCTGCCTCTTTGGTGAAAAATGAGTGTTAAGTAAGAGGAATGTGTGATTAGGGTTAACAGAAACTTGAACCTGCTGAGAGATTGGAGTGAAGGAAAATGATTCCATTGAGACTGCAATAGTCACAAAAGGCTGTGAAAGCAGAAACCACGAGGATTTTTTAAAAAACCTTTTAAAATAAAGGATTTTTAAACCTTGTTTTTTCCCCAATATATTCTCCCTTTCAATGCTTCTAGGTTTAAATAAGTGGTATATGTTTTGAGAACTTCCCTTCTAGTTGTATACTGGGGATGCATACTAGGTTTTGAAAGCAATTTGTCAATAGATTTGTATTCTAGTAAGAAAAAAAATGAATTGGAAATAATATTAATGAAACATGAAATTACCTTACCTTTGAGACATATCGGAAGGCTAAAGTAATTACCTAAAATGTGAATGCTCTTTTGCTAAAATGTATCCTTCTGATTGAAATTGTTTTGTTATACATTGACTGAATGTGGTTTTGATTTCTCTTAGTTAATATCCTTATCAAACAAAAAAAGATGTAGCATGTGAAGAAGGCAAAATAAATTGCAAATCAGGCAAGTAATAGAATTTTAGCCCTCTATAATTGTTGTGATGGTATCTGTGCAAGTGGAAAGTTAAATTTTATGTATGCTGTTTAGTGTTAGTGCATCATAAAATTAGATTCTTTTGGTTACATTTCATACAACAGTCTCAAATGTTCAAAATTTCACAATCTTACCCATTTTCTAGCTTGTATGAATTCTGTTCATGCTGTTCAGCAGAAAAACTCATCAGGTTGAAAACACTTTGTTGCTGTTTTGTTTTTGGGTTTTTTTTTTTGCTATTTTCCTTTTGATTTTTAATCTTCAATGATAACTTTCATGCAAACATTCAATCCCCTGCCATATTTCATTTATTTTTTTCTTGCATCAGGAGAACAAGAGTTTTTTATTGTTCTTATACCGAAGCTTGTCTAATCCTTTCCTGTATTGAATACATTTTTAAAAATTGTGGATGCCTATTTAGTATGCATGATAGCAATCCTAAACTACAATCCTTTCCATAATTATGCAGTCATAACTTTTAATGAAATCGATGAGTGCTGGCCATGAATGTTATATTTATTATGTACAAGCCTTAATTAACCAAATACAGCTACCAATTTCAAAGTAGGCATAAATCATAAAACCTAATATAAAGCCATTACATAAAATCAATATTCAGTATTTATTGTATATATGGTATTTGTATGGAATTACAATGCATGATAGGCTGAACTACAGAGGAAGACTGGTGTTCAACAGGCTTCTAAAAATAGCAGTTCTCGGGGTCTGTTTATTACTAGGAGGGAAATAATGCATGGTATGTGCCACCGTTCTAAATGTCCAGGTCTGAATAATACCATTGAAATAAAAGGTAAAGGTTTCCCCTTAACATTAAGTTCAACTCTGCAGGGTGGTGTTCATTTCCATTTCTAAGCTGAAGAGTCCGTAGACATCTCCAAGGCCATGTGGCCGACATGACTTTATGGAATGCCATTACCTTCCTGCCAGAGCGATACCTATTGATGTACTCACATTTGCATGTTTCTGAACTGCTAGGTTAGCAGAAGCTGGGGCCAATAGTGGGAGATCACCCAGCTCCCCGGATTCGAACTGCCAACCTTT